AATCTTAGGGATTTTTTCATTCCTATATACTATTTGAAACCTTAATACGAAAAATATCCATGTTTTGGTATTTACCCGATCTAAACACATTTTAGTTACAAAATGTATACAATCCACCTTAAAAGGCTCCCAATCCATTATTTGTGCCTTCAATCAAGGGATTTAGTTACACCCTTTTATTTTTTTCTCTCATCTCACCCCTCTTACAACAAACAAGATCAGTGAGCACGACTGAGAAATTTAAACATGCGTAAATTTCACCGAAAGCAATAGTAAAATACAGGAGGGGTCATTGAAAATATCTCATATTAATAGTCATATCGTGAATTACCTCTTCGGGTCTTCCTTCAAGATTATTCACCAAATCTATAATAAACGGATTTTGTCTAGCCTTTCGCAAGTCCATTGTTGCCTTCCTCGATTTATTTCTCTCCTGCCTCGACATTTTATCTTCTTCCATAGGAGCAAGTACAAGTTTGGGGGGTCGATATACATTGCTGCCATCCTGTAGCCCAAGACAAGAAATATTCAACCATCTCTTTTACTTTAGGAAATCATATGGGAGAATGAGAGAGTAAAATCATAATTTCAACTTTTTGAACTGCTAATGATCGAGTCAACTCTTTGAATAGGAAGAGGAGAAAGGAACTAAAATGGTCATTCCATGGTCAAGTACCAATCACCCAACAAATTTAAATACATTTTTTATACACATTTTATACAAATACGTCTTTTGTATATTTTGTATCTGATTTATACATAGTAAAAATAAATTTCATATATAATAATTATATATTATACAACTTTAAACAACTATAATATTATACCATTTAACTATAATTTTTATACAAACTTTATACAATATGTCTTTTGTATATTTTGTATCTAATTTATACATACAACAATAACAACAACAACCCAGTGAAATCCCACTAGTGGGGTATGGAGATGGTAGTGTGTACGTAGACCTTACCTCTACCTTGAAGGAGTAGAGATGCAAATATCTGATTTATACATAGTAAAAAATTTTTTTATGCAACTAATTATATATTATACAACTTATATACAACGTACATACATTGTTTCTACCCCAGTTATATACAACTACAATATCATACAACTGAAATATAATTTTTATACAATATTGTTCAACTTTCATACAATATTTAAATAAAACAATATATATAAACAACAGAATATAATTTTTCTACAATTTTACTACAACTTTACTACAATTCATCCAAAATCAAGTCTAATCTTCACCAAAACACCCTCAAAATTGAGATATAAACTCCAAACATGTGATAACCAAAATATCATCTTTAAATTTAATAATTAATTCTATGTTCTAAGACCTCGAAAAGTACTATTTATCATTTTTCGACTTACGTGCATAGTCCATAAAATTTTCTGAAAAATTTTTATGTGAAAAATGGATTAAAATATGAATGTAAGCTTTAAAACTCAACTGAGTTGGCTTTGGTCAATATTTTGAGCAAACGGACTCGGATCAGTATTTTGACAGTTTCGGTAGGTCCGTATCGTGATTTGGGACTTGGGTGTATGCCCGAAATCAAATTCCGAGGTCTCTAGCCCGAGATATGGAATTTTGATAAAAATTAAAAGTTTAAATTCAAATAGTGATCGGATGTCGAATTATGTGCAAACGACCCCGGAATAGAATTTTGAAGATTCCAACAGCTCCGTATGGTAATTTTGGACTTAGGAGCATGATTGTAATTTTATTTGAAAGTACGTAGTGGAATTAGGCTTGAAATGCCGAAAGTTGAATTTTTGGGAAGTTTGACCGAGGGGTTGACTTTTTGATATCTGGGTCGAAATCCGATTCTGAAAAATTTGAGTACCTCCGTTATGTCATTTATGACTTGTGCGCAAAAATTGAGGTAAATCGAACGTGATTTGATAGGTTCCGGAGTCGTTTGTAGAAATTAGAAATTTCAAAGTTCATTAGGCTTGAATCTACGTGTGATTCGTGTTTTAGTGTTGTTGGATGTGATTTATAAAGGCTCGACTAAGTTCGTATGATGTTTTAGGACTTGTTAGTACATTTGGTTGAGGTCCCGGGGACCTCGGGTGAGTTTCGGATGGTTAATGGATCAAATTCGGACTTAGAAGAAATAACTGAAGTTTCTGCCCTCTGCTGCATTCGCACCTGCGGAAATTCTATCGCATATGCGCAAATGGACTATGGGGCAATGGTCGCAGGTGCGAGGGAAATTCTGTACCTGCGTGAGCACAGATGCGGAGGGACGCGCGCAGAAGCGGCCTGCGCAGGAGCGCAAACAGGCGCGCTGATGCGGGCAAAGGCGCAGATGCGGGTCTTTTTCCGCACATGCAGTTGGCGCAGAAGAGGCCAAGTTGTCGCAGATGCGAAAATCCCTGGACAGTACAAAAACATAGGGGTTCCGAGTTTTTGCCATTTTTTGGATATTTCAAGCTCGGGTTGGGCGATTTTGAGCAAGGTTTTCACAGGAAAACTTATGGTAAGTCCCTTGTAATCATTTCTACTCCATAATATTGAATTATCATCAAATAATCCGACTAGATTACATATTTTTGAGGTGTAAATCGGGGGTTGGAACTTAGGGATTTGAAAATAAGATTTGAAGCTTTGAGGGTCGAGTTGGGGTCGGATTTTGATAAAATTGGTATGGTTAGACTCGTGGTTGAATGGACTTTCGAATTTTGTAACTTTTGTCGAGTTCCGAGACCATTTTTGAGTTAATTTCGGATTTTTATTGAAAAATATAATATTTTCTTACAGAATTAATTCTATAAATTTTGTTGATTGTATCTAATTAATTATGAATAGATACGAGTCGACCGGAATCGAAAAATCGAGAAAAAAGCATACTACTTAGTTAAATTGGAGCATGCCAAGGTAAGTGACTTGTCTAACCTTGTGTGGGAAAAATTTTCCCTAGGATCTGTATTAATTGTAATGTGATGAAAGTCGTGTACACGAGGTGAAGAGTGTGTACACAAACTAAATTTGAAGGATTATGCTTTTAAATATTGAAGATCACTGTTGCATATTAATTAATTTATTAAATCTTGTTATATTCTCCATCATTGATTTGATTTGTATACTTTAAATTTGCTTGACCTTTTCCTGTTAATTGTTTTACCTGTTTGGTTGAATCTTGGTTTCTTTTATTCTGTGCATTATTTGAAATTTATTTTCTTTAAATTAAATATTATTAATATGAAGTATTTGACATTTTAAATTTGGTATTGAAGCAACGTATTAAAGATTTTGAAATATTATTTTGCTAAATTATTTATTCCTGAATATTTTTATAAGATTTTTGTACTCACTGTGATGGAGCCGTGGGCTCTTTATTGTGGAAAAATACTATTAATGATTTATGTTGGCATGAGCCATGAGCTCTTTATTGTGGAAAATATCGTTGATTTATTTTGGCAAATTAAAATATTTGGGCACTTGAGGTGCAAATTGTGATATATTGTGATATTGATACACATGCAGTGGTATAAGGTCTGGGTATTGAAACGCATGCGGTGAGATAAGGGTGGCTTGATACGCGTGGCTAGTAAGGGAAACTACTAGAAGTCATGCAGTGTGATAAGGATGGCTAAAACCCGTGATGCTATTTCAGAAAAAATATTTTCTTTTAAATAAATTGTGAAGGCTCCCGCAGTGAGATAAGAAAATGAGATATTGTGAATTTATTTATGATTGGGACTACAAGGCCGTACCTCGGTAGTGCCCTTGTTGATATTAATTTATGGCAATAGTTGCCTTCGATTAATTGTTGTGATTTTCATAAAGTTGAACGGAATTCTGTTTTGATTCCACGAGATATTATTTGCCATTATTTTGCTTAATAAAATGGTGACACACTACTTGATTCATTTTCAATGTCATTTTATTTTACTATATTGTTAAACATTTTACCATGCCATTATTTATTCTCCAGTAGGGCCTCACCTGACCTCGTCACTACTCTAACAAGGTTAGGCTTGTCACTTACTGGGTACCGTTGTGGTGTACTCATACTACGCTTCTCCACATCTTTTTGTGCAGATCCAGGTACATCTTACCAGCCTAGACGTTAGTGAGTTACCTGCGCACAGAGACTTTTAGGTATATCTGTCAGCGTCCGCAGACTCCGGAGTCCCATTCTATCATTTTTATGTTGCTTCCTTATTTTTCTTTAGACCTTGATATATAGAGACATTGAGAATAAATTCTTAGAAGCTTGTGACTTATTTCTACCCGGTTTTGGGAGTTGAAATTGTTTGAATTGTAGTTTAATTATTTCAGATATTTATTATTATTCCGCATTGATAGGCTTACCTAGTCTTAGAGATTAGGTGCCATCACGACATCCTACGGAGGGAATTTGGGGTCATGACAAAACAATATTCCCAATTCTTTGCAACAACACCACATCCAAACAAATAATGCTTTTTGAAAATCCAAATACGAATTCAAAGTTTCAAAGCTTTTTAATGGCTGTCAATGGTGGAATTGCTGCTCTCTTACTGGAATTAGGGCCGATCATTGAATGTGTTTTCTTCTTCATTGAAAGTTAAGCAAGCAACAAGCATTAATGGAGGTGTGTGGTAGAGTANGGAGTGTAATAATGTTTGAAATAGTGTATAGAAATATAAAAATTCCATAATCTTATAATAACAAATCACCGCTGGTTCGGACCTGGGCCTGGAAATTGACTTGACCATTAAAATATTATAGAGGTAAATTTTGAATTTCTTTTGAAAAATTAGAGAGTACAGTCACCACTATGATTAATTATCTAAATTTACTTGCCTCATAACGTGTGAACACTACATAAATGAACTGGATTCATATCTATGAACTACCAAAATGGAAAAACCAAAGGCTTCAATATGTTGGAAAAACTCTATAAATACTAGGCTTCAACATTACAAAGTTCATATCACATAGTAACTCTTAGTAATTAATGCTAGCTATATCATCATTATCTTTGAGAATGAGTACTAGACAGGGTCGCAAAAGTGTTCGTATCGCAAAGATAGAAAATCAGAATAATCGACAAGTGACTTTCTCAAAACATCGAAATTGTGTCTTCAAGAAAGCAAACGAGCTTGATATTATGACTGGTGCTGAAGTTGGCATCATCGTGTGTCCACAAGGTAATTACAAGCCTAATTATATTTTTTTTGTCATCTATATATACATGATATACCATCAACAAATATAACTTTTTAAGCATAAATGTACATGTATCATCATAACTAAACATGCAAATCCAAGATCTTGAACATGATAATTAATTTCACGTAAAAATAAAGCATCATAAAAAGATACTTGGTGTGGGAGGCGTTATAACAGTAGATAAACTGATTTCTCTCCTTTTGCTATTTTATATTACTGATTTCTCTCCTTTTGCTCTATAGGTAGCAAGCCTTACTCTTTTGGTCATCCAAATGTAAATGAAACCATCAACAAATATGTTGGCGAAGAAAGGCCTCCATCACCATCATCACCGGGCATTGATGACAAGTATGTCCAAATGTTCCGAAAAGACAATTCTAGAAAACTTAACACACGACTCAATTCTCTACAAAACCAGCTGGATTCTGCATTAAATTTGAAAAGCAAACTCAAGCAAATGAATAAGAATGTGGAGAGCCAACAAGAGTGGTTCAAGGGACCTATAGAGAAGATGAATTACACCGAGGCTTCAATGTTGAAGGAGGGATTAGAAGATCTGCTCTTGAAGGTGAAGAACTATGGTACTGAGCGTGCTTATGGTTACGAAAATTGAAAGTGAAAGGCTGAGTAAAAGCTACTACTAGTTTTTTTTAATAATCGTTCATGTTATTTATTTTTTTATGATGACCCAATAGGTCATCTTTAAATTTAATAATTATTTATGTGTTATTGATATCAGGATCGGAACCAGATTCTAAAAATTTGAATAGCTCCGTCATGTCATTTATGACTTGTGCCCCAAATTTGAGGTCAATCCGGATTCGTTTAATACGTTTCGACACGAGTTTTATAAATTGAAAAGTTTGAAATTCAAAAGTTCGAATCGAGGTGTGAATTTTAAATTCGACGTTATTTGACATGATTTGAGACCCCGAGTAAGCCCGTATTATGTTACGGGACTTGTTGGTATATTCGGACGGGGTCCCGAGAATCTCGAGTGTGATTCGGATCGAAATCGGATCAAATTTTGGACTTAAGCAAATTCTGGAATTTGCTGCTTCTGGTGTGTTCGCTTCTGCGAAGCCTTGGCTGCAGAAGCGGCTGCGCAGAAGCATGAAGTCCGTCGCAGAAGCAGAAAAAGGGAAGGGGCAGCCTCATCACAGAAGAGAACTCTTGTCCGCAGAAGCGAGCTAGCCCGTAGAAGCGACCACAATCTCCGTAAAAGCGAGGTCGCAGATGCGGTACTTGTGCCCACAGATGCGAAAAAGCCTGGGCAGAACCCATAAAATCGAGGGTTAGCCTTTTTTTTTTTCTCATTTTTGAGTTTTGAGTCTCGAATTTGGGCGATTTCAAAGGGGTTTTTCATGACTTCAACTTGGGTAAGTATTTTATACCCGAAAGTGATTATATTTTATAAATCCATGCTTATATTCATCGTTTATTTCGGATTTAGATGGAAAAAATTTGAATTTTTGTAAAACTTTTCAAAAATAAAAATTTAGGATTTGAAGGTCCATTTGACATCGGAATTTGATAATTTTTATATGGTTGGACTCGTCTCGGAATGGGTATTCGGATTTCATGAGTTTTTTTCGAGATTCGAGACGTGGGCCCCATTGCAAATTTTTTAGATGAATTTCGGATTTTAATTCAAAACAATAGTAATTTTATATGGAATTAATTCCTACGATTCGTATTGAGTATATTGAATTGTTTGTGACTAGATTTGAATCTTTCGGACACTAATTCGCGAGGAAAATATTTATTGGAATCTTGAATTTGGTTGCGAAGCGAGGTAAGTGTCGTGGTTAACCTTGACTTGAGGGAATAGAACCCTTGAATTATTTGTTATGTGAATTTCATGTGTAACGACGTATAGGCGAGGGACGAGTTCCTATACATCGTCAAATTGATTGTTTACATATTTATCGGAAATTCAAAATTATTTTAAATCATGAGTTAATTATTATATAAATTATTTGTGATGACCCGATAGGTCATCTTATGTTTTAGAACCTAATTCTACGCTTTGAAGTCTTAAAAATCTCATTTTTGCCTTTCTCGATTTACGTGCGCAGTTGAGGCATGTTTCAGGAAAGCTTTTATGTTAAAAACTATGAAAATATGAAATTTTGCTTTGAAAACCATTTGAGTTGATTTTTGTCAATGTTTTGAACAAACGGACCCGGATTCATATTTTGACGATCTCGGTGGATCCGTATCGTAATTTGAAACCTTGGCGTATGCCCGAAATCGAATTCGGAGGTCCCTAGCCCGAGTTATTGATTTTTGTTGAAAATTGAAAGTTTGAAAGATTTATGATATTTAAGAATCGACTGATGTTTGGATTTCTTGATACCGGGTTCGTATTTTAGTTTCGGAGTCCGGTACAGGTCCACTATAATATTTATGACTTGTCTGTCAAATTTGGTAAGAAAACGGAGTAGATTTGACGTGATTCAGATGTCCGGTTGTGAAAATAGAAGTTTCAAAGTTTTCTTGAAAATTTCATTTGATTTGATATTCAATTCATAGTTCTAGATGTTATTTTGGCGATTTGATCGCACGAGCAAGCTCGTATGATATTTTAGGACTTGTGTGCATGTTTGTTTTGGAGCCCCGAGGGCTCGGGTGAGTTTCAGATAGGCTACGGAGTGTTTTGAACTTAGAAAAACATAATAGCTGCTGCAACTGATCTGCAGACTTCGCATATGCGAGATCTGGCTTGCAAATACAAGCCTCGCATTTGTGAAGAGACCATCGCATTTGCGAGCAGTGGGCTGCGGGGAAGACCTTCACAATTGCAAAGTTTTGATCGCATTTGTGATCCTGGCAGTCCGCATTTGCTAACACTGGTTCGTATTTGCGAAGGCAGCATACATAGCCATTCTTCGCATTTGCGACCACTGGGTCGCATTTGCGATCAAGCCTGAGTTCGCATTTGCGAACCATTCTTCGCATTTGCAAAGAATGCAGAGGTGTGATGTTTCTTGCATTTGCGGGCTTCGCAATTGCGAAGACCAGGTCGCAAATGCTACATCTGCAGCTGAACAACTATAACTTAGACTGAATTTTTGGTTCATTTCTCAAATTTTCAAAACCTAAAACATTAGAGGCGATTTTTCCAAGACTTCTTCTTCCCCAAATTGTTGGTAAGTGATTCAAACCTATTTCCTTTCAATCTTTCACTACAATTCATAGGTTTTCAACCTAAAATCTAAAGTTTTCATGGTGGAAATTGGGAGTTTTTGGGTAGAAATTAAGGATTTGGTAAATTGGGATTTATACCTCAAATTGAGGTCGAATTCCAAAACAAATCACATAACCGAGCACGGGGTGAATGGGTAATCGGGTTTTGGTCGGAATTTCGGGTTTGGACCAAGCGGGGCCGGGTGTTGTCTTTTGTTGACGTTTTCAATAATGGCCTAAATTGAATTCTTTACAATTGTAGGTAATTCCTAAGGTTTAATTTGAATCGTTTGGTTGGTAAATTGCTAGATTCTATTGTTTCGGAGTGGTTGAGATTTGAGTTTGGTCTTCGGAGTGAGGTAAGTGTCGTGGTTAACCTTGACTTGAGGGAATAAGACTTCTTTGTCTATTTGCTACATGTGTCAATGTTGGGCAACAACGTATATGTGACATGACGAGTACTTATGCGTTGTAGTCGGGTTAAAGCATGCGGGTGGGGCTTGGTTTCTTGCAATTATAGCTTCCTTTGTTCATGTTATCCGTGTTGAGACTAGTATTGCTAAATTGATCGTTCTTATCATGTTTACGAATCTTCTGGTGATAATTGAGTATTGATTCCGAAGTTGAGGTTGATATTGTGGAACCAAATGTTGAAGTAAGGCTTGTACTTGTTATTTTGTCTCCCTGTTGTTATTTGTTCATTGCAATATGGTAAGGGAGAGTGTTAATGACCGAAGGGTGATGTCGTTCCATATTATGAGTGTTAATACACGAAGGGTGATGGCATTCCATATTGTGTGTGTTAATGCATGAAGGGTGATGCCGTGCCATGTTATGAGAGTTAATGCATGAAGGGTGATGCCGTGCCATGTTATGAGAGTTAATGCATGAAGGGTGATGCCGTGCCGTTTCTATTGGTTTATATGGTGAGGTTGAGTGTTAAAAGCACGAAGGGTGATGCTGTGTGTTTTATTTTGCTGTGTTCACTTACTCCTATTGGTTAAAGGTATAATGGTTGCAAAAGTTATCAATACTGATGTGATTCTCTCTCTTGTATTCCCCTCAGTATGTTCCCCCTCCCTGTATTACTTGTCTTGCTTTTACTTGCCGTTATTTTGTACATATACTAATAAATTGCACAGGTTTGTTATGTAGGTGTCTTGTCATAGCCTCGTCACTACTTCGTCGAGGTTAGGCTTGACACTTACCAGTACATGGGGTCAATTGTACTGATACTGCACTCTGCACTTTTTGTGTAGATTTTGGTACCGGCCCTAGATGATCGTGAGGCTTAGCAGCTTGGATTTGCTGTCAGGAGACCCAAGGTTAATCTGTTGGCGTCCGCAGACCTTGGAGTCTCTTCCTAGTGTTATCATTTACTATTTCCTTACTTCAAAACAGTGTATTTTCCCCTTTCAGACTCTGTTTGTAGTAAATCATTGTAGCTCGTGAGTTGTGACTCCAGATCCGGGTGGTAGTAATTAATGAAGTTTTTATATCATTCCGCACTCATATTTCATTTTATTTTATTTGATTCTTCTATTGAAATTGACTAAAAATTGGATTAAAGAATCCTCTAACGTTGGCTTGCCTAGAAAGTCAAATGTTAGGCGCCATCACGGTCCCGAAGGTGCGAATTACGGTCGTGGCAAGTTGGTATCATAGCACTAGGTTGCCTAGGTCTCACAATTCATGAGCAGGCTTAGTAGAGTTTGGAGGATTGGTACGGAGACGTCCGTGCTTATCTTCTAAAGGCTATGAAGTTTAGGAACCATTTCACTTATATTCTTCTCTATTGTACGATTTTATTCTATCATTTTTGATTCAACTCTTCTATTCTTTTCCTTCCGCAAATGGCAAGAACACATACCACATCTTCAGCTGAGCAGCAACCAGAGCCTCCAGTGGCAGCTCCTATGAGGGGCAGAGCTCGAGGCCGAGGTCGTGCCAGAGGCCGAGGAAGGGGCAGAGCTCAGCCCAGAGCTTGAGCAGCAGCACCACCGGTGGAGCCTCAGTTAGAGTTTGATGAGGAGGTTCCAGCCCAGGTTGTGCCTGTTGGACCAACTCAAGTCGGAGGGGTTCATTGCCACCCCAATGCTTCAGGATGCTTTGGTTCGTTTGGTGGGCCTTATGAAGAGTGTGGCCTAGACTGGAACATTCCCCATGGCACCAGCCATCTCTCAGGCTGGAGGAGGAGCACAAACTCCTGCTACCCACACTCCAGAGCAGATCGCTCCCCAATATCAGACTCTAGCATCTCAGCCAGTTGGAGTAGTTCAGTCGGTTATTGTGGCACAGGCCGGTGATAGACCAGCTATGTCTTTTGAGGGCTTATTGAGATGGACAAGTTCACCAAGCTCTTCCCAGTTCACTTCAGTGGTGCACCTTATGAGGAACCACAGGATTATCTTGACCGCTGCCATGAGGTTCTGTGGAACATGGGGATAGTTGAGACCAGTGGGGTTGATTTTTCTCTGTTTTAGATGACGGGTTCCACCAAAAGATTTTGGAAGGATTTTGTATTGGCCATACCAGCGTGGTCGCCTGCTCTTACTTGGGACCAGCTCTCTCTGCTCTTCCTAGAGAAGTTGCTGCCTATTAAATTAAGAGAGGAGCATTGTCGTCAGTTCGAGCGTCTCCAGCAGGGCAGTATGACTGTTACTCAGTATGAGACCCATTTTATGGATTTGGCCCGTCATGCTCTTCTTCTGCTTCCCAACGAGAGAGGGAGGGTGAGGAGGTTTATTGACAGACTTGCTCAGCCCATCAGATTGCAGATGGCTAAGGAGACTGTGAGTGAGATTTCTTTTCAGGTGGCTACCAATGTCGCCAGGCGAGTCGAGATGGTTCTTGCTCAGGGAGGTCAGGGGTCCGACAAGAGACCACGTCATTCCGGGGGGTTCAACGGTGCCTCATCTGGAGGCAAGGGTACTTTTGGTATAGGCTATCCTCCCAGGCCGTTTCATTCAGCACTCCAGGCATCCCCCGGTGCCTTAGGTGGTCGTGGACCTCGTATGCCTTATTTCGACTAGGTAGCCTACAATGCACCACCAGTTCCTATTAGTGCACCTCCGCTCTAGAGTTTGCAGGGTGGTTACTCAGGTCGACAGGGTCAGTTTCAGGGTCAGCAGTCACAGCAACCGATGTCCTGTTATACTTATGGCGATCCGAGGTACATTTTTAGATTTTTCCCTCAGGCATTGGGCATCGGGCATCTCACAGCATCAGGGTTCTCATGCCATGGTTCCGGTACCAGTTACTGCACCGCTTGCTCAGCCAGCCAGAGGCAGGGTTCATGCAGCCAGGGGTAGAGGCCAGACTGTTAGAGGGTGAGGTCAGGGCATTAGAGATGGAGGCCAGCCAGCTAGAGGTCGTCTTAGAGATGTAGTTCAGAGTGGTGGGGGCCCAGCCCCGATGTTATGCTTTTCCAGCCATGCCTGAGGCTGAGTTATCTGATGCTGTTATCACAGGTACTGTTTCAGTTTGCAGTATAGATGCTTCAGTTCTATTTGATCCGGGTTCTACTTATTCCTACGTGTCATTCTATTTTTCTTCATATTTGGTTGTGCCTTGTGATTCTTTAAGTGCTCCTATCTATGTGTCCACACCTGTGGGAGATGCTATTGTTGTAGATCGTGTTTATCGTTCATGTGTGGTCACCATTGGGAGTCTTGAGACTAGTATAGATCTTCTACTTCTCGACATGGTCGATTTTGATATTATCTTGGGCATGGATTGGCTGTCACCTTATCATGCTATATTGGATTGTCACGCCAAGATGGTGACCTTAGACTTTCCGAGGTTTCCTCGATTAGAGTGGAGAGAGAATCCTGGCCATTCTACTAGCAATGTTATCTCCTATATGAAGGCTCGACGTATGGTCGAGAAGGGGTGTCTAGCTTATTTGGCTTATGTTCGCGATTCTAGCGCGGAGATTTCTTTCCATGGATTCAGTACCAGTTGTTCGTGAGTTTCCTGAGGTGTTTCCTGCAGACCTATCGGGGATGCCACCTGACAGGGATATTGATTTCTGTATTGATTTGGCTCCGGGCACTTAGCCCATCTCTATTCCGCCATACCGTATGGCCCCGCCAGATTTGAATGATTTGAAGGAACAGTTGCAAGTTTTGCCTGATTAGGACTTCATTAGACCAAGTGCCTCGCCCTGGGGTGCGCCTGTGTTATTCGTGAAGAAGAAGAATAGATCGATGAGGATGTGCATAGATTACCGGCAATTGAACAAAGTCACCATCAAGAACAAGTATCCATTGCCGAGGATTGATGACTTATTCTATCAGCTTCAGGGTGGCAAGGTGTTTTCATAGATTGATTTGAGATCTGGCTACCATAGGTTGAGGATTAGGGCATCCGATGTCCCTAAGACAGCTTTTCGAACTCAGTACGGGCATTATTAGTTTGTGGTGATGTCGTTTGGGTTGACAAATGACCCAGCAACATTCATAGATTTGATGAACCGAGTGTTCAAGCCTTATTTGGACTCCTTTGTGATCATGTTTATTGATGATATCTTGATCTACTCCCGCAGTCGAGAGGAGCATGAGCAGCATCTCAGGATTTTACTTTATACACTAAGAGTCAGCCAGTTGTATGCTAAATTTTCAAAGTGCGAGTTTTGGTTGGATTCAGTCGCTTTCTTGGGGCATGTTCTATCACCAGAGTGAATTTAGGTAGATCCGAAGAAGATTGAGGCAGTTCAGAAATGGCCTAGACTAACTTCAGCTACGGAGATCAGGAGTTTCTTGGGTTTGGTGGGCTATTACCGTCAATTTGTGGAGAGGTTTTCATCTATAGTAGCCCCATTGACTAGGTTGACCCAGAAAGGTGCCCCATTCAGATGGTCAGACGAGTGT